CAAACAGTCTTTTTTAAAGGCTTCTGCAAACCCATTTAGACGTTCTAAAAATTCTGAACTGGCAGAGAGAAATATTTATTTACATTCCACAGTTAAAGCAAAATGATAGTGTTAGGACATAATCTCTGCTTTGATGACAAAAGATTTCATTTGTGCAAAGAATGACAATACAAAAAACTGAAATTTATTTTAAACAGGAACAGAAAAAGCTATAGTTGTTTAAATGGACAGCTAATTGCAGCAATAATTGAATCTAAATAGACAGCTAATTGTGGTCACAAGAGAACCTTATGATGCAGTATAGCTAGCACACAATTAATGATCTCTTAAAATAAAAAAAAAAATCATGGAGATTTTTCCATAGGGTCCACATATTGTTAACAGAGGCATGAATAAATTATATACCCCTGCAAAAACAAGAAAGTATTTCTTGATAACTAGGAGGACCCAATAAAACATCAGACTATGCAATAAACACTTAAAGAACTGAAATATTCTGCCCTTTATTTTATAGCTTTTTGTCATAGACATAACTTAAACATGAAAAAAATAATGTGTTGAATTCAGTCACCTAGAAGTAGTGGTTTTATCTTACTACCCTCCTTACTGCAGCCATTTGTACCACGCAACCCATTAAGAAGAAACACAAAACGCACATTTTCAGATAAAAATTGTGTGCCAGAAGGTAATCTGGTTAATTTTTATAAGTTTGAAATGTTTATATCCTGCCCTGCAATACAATACACTAGAGAAGCTAACAGCAACTTGAGCCACTACAGCAGTACAATAAAATGCAAAGAAATCATTATCTTAGTTGAGGCTGGACTTCTATTGGAAGAAACACACTATATTAGAGACTGGACCTAGGCTATTTATGGTGGCTGCTAAACATCATTTTGGGGTACATGTGTACCATGCTGCATCATCATACAAGATGTGGATTCAAAGGATCCCCTCCACTAAGAGTGCAATCTTCTACAGATGCAGGGAATGTAAGGAGCCTCACAGGGTGTCTGTTGTGGGGAGGGGAAGGGAAAGGAGTTTGTAAGCCGCTCTGAGACTCCAAGTAAAGGGCGGGGTATAAATCCAATCTCTTCTCTTCTCTCTAGTGGAACCAGCACATTTTGCTGATAGAAGGCTCCACTTGCCAGCAAAAAGCACCACCATTAGGTGAATGAACCTTTTGAGTGTTTTCACTAGCACTCCCACACACTTTGCTTTAATTGTGGACTAACTGAGCCCAACACCTCATGAGGCACATGACCGTTGTTATTGGAGACTACATGGAATACTGATATGTAGTACCTTGGGAGCAACATCTGACTCCTTAACATGCCACCTATGGCTCTTCTGGGCACCGTCCTCCAGTGTGGCACCTGTCTAGGAAAGTAAGCAAGGCCACTGCCTTGTAGTACAGACTCTTGGTACATAATGGGAGCCAGCTGTTTTATATAACTGTCCTCTTCTCTTCCCACTAGGCAGTTATTGCATGCAAACATGTCAGACTTTAGTAAAATTTTGATAAATATAAGAGCTAATATATATTCCTCAATAGTTTCCTGATGGGAGTTTTTGGTTTAATGTAGTTACCCATTCATTTCACAAGCTGTTATTTGAGGCAGAATCATGTAAGTATCTTGAAAGTGCTCTGTGCTCTGCTACAGGCTTGTCATGCAGCTTTTCTGGCTAGTCATGTGTCTCTTTGCCAGTTTGGTGTAGTGGTTAAGTGTGCGGACTCTAATCTGGGAAAAACGGGTTTGATTCCCCACTCCTCCACTTGCACCTGCTGATGTGACCTTGGGACAGTCACAAGCTCTGGCACAGCTGTCCTTGAAAAAGAGCAGTTTGTGTCAGAGTTCTCTCAGCCCCACCCACCTCACAGGGTGTCTGTTGTGGGGAGGGGAAGGGAAAGGAGTTTGTAAGCTGCTCTGAGACACCTTTGGGTAGTGAAGAGTGGGGTATAAATCCAATCTCTTCTTCTTCTTCTTCTTTTGGCTGATGGTAATTGCGGATGTGGCGCTCTGCAAGCCATACAGTGAATACCACTGATGTGGAGTATGAAGTGGCACTTATAAGGGTAAAACATTCTGAGATCACAATTTATGTATTTGTTGTTGTTCAGTCGCACAGTCGAGTCCGACTCTTCGCGACCCCATGGACCAGATCACGCCAGGCCTTCCTGTCTTCCGACGTCCTCTGAAGTTGGCTCAATTTCATGTTCGTTGCATCTATGACACTGTCTTTATGTATAGGTATACAGAATATTCTATTCCTTCCACATACACACCGCACTATTTCCTTCCCATGGGATTCCCATGGGATTCATCACACTGAGCCAATGAGGAAAAGAACGGTTGAAAGTCAACTTGGCTGTGTGATGTATGTTCCCGTCAGTTGCCACCTGGTGCCACCTACTTTTTGTTGAGCAGTCAGACTAGGCATGCTCCTGGAGGGTCAGTAGAGACCTTTTCCAGGACGGATGCCCTCCTGAGGCTTTGTGCTACAGCTCAAATAAAGCAGATTTATACCCTTGCCTTGCTGGCGGGGTCTCCAAACTTTACAGGCTACTTTGTTGTTTCTGAACCATATAAGAGCATGAAGGCAAATGAGGCAAAGTTGGCTGTTTCTGCACTACTATGTCACATCTGCTTTAGCTGCAACTAAAAGTGCTCTATAACAGGAAACAGGGGAATAAATATTACAACTAAGAGCCCATTGATCACAGGGGTCTGTAACCAGCTATGATGGATGGATTTGCATGAGAGTGCAGAACAGTCAAGACACTTTCATGATTCTACCTCAAGTAACAGCTTGTTAAATGAATGGGTAACTACAGTAAGCCAAAAGCTACACCAGGAAACAAAAACTATTGAGGAATATTAATTAGCGTTTATATCCATCAAAATTTTTCTAAAATCTAACAATGTTACATGCTATGTTGTTTGCGATGCAATAACTGCCTAGTGGGAGGACGAAAGGACAATGATATAAAATAGTTGTCTCCCACTAAGTACTAAGAGCCTGTCATTTAAAAATTCATTCTGGCTCCCACAATTATAAATACGGGGAATTATTTTTGCAGGGAATGCCAGAAAGTCAGCAAGCAGTTACTTTTTTTGCCAACCAAAGCATGACTCTTTCTGCAGGAATTTTCTTTAAAATATATAAACAAAGATGGATAGAAAACCAGCCTTGCTAATAGAGTAGGACAGATATATTGAACATGTATTCTGAACAATGCACATAAATAATATTCCACTTCTTCCAAAAATAGGTATTGTAACTAAGATTTACCAAAAACGCAGTTTGTTGTGCAGTGTATACAATAAATACCCCCTCCAAAAAAAGTTTTATTTATAACATACAGACATCTCTGAAATTAAACTTAGGTAAATCTTGAATGAAGGGATAGATGGTGTAATATTTAACAACCTTAGAAGTTACAAAGAGTTAAAGAGAAATTATCTTAAAATTGTTTTTGAAATGAAGGCTTCAAGATATCAGAATTTTGTAAAGCCACACTGGTGACCCATATAAAGGTTTTCCAGTTTCCCTTATTTTAAGATAGCCACTTGCAGATTCAGTGAACTCTGGATACAAGCTCATAATACCCTTCATTTTAGAAGAAGAGAGTACCAAACCAAAAGAGATTTAATTATTTGTTTAAACATTTATATCCTGCCTTTCCTTTTGGCTCAGATAAAAAGAAAAGTGCAGAATATTTTTCAAAAATAAACATTTCTATGTCATCTTTCCAACCCCACATAGGGTCTCCAAGGTGGCAAAGACTTCACACAAAAAAACTCCAAACGGGCACTGCAGATTCATTGGTACCTAAACCATACTTGATCAAGGGATATTTGCAAACTTCTGATGTGATAGAGCAGGTTTCCCTCTGGGCATTTCAAAGAAATATTGCCAGCTGAACTGGCAAGTGACTCACTGGATCTGACTGATTCCACTTCTTACAATATCTGAAACTGATCTCAAGTGCACACTGTTGTGCCAAAACAGGTGGTACCAAAATGCCTCAATGGGTAACATAAAAGGGTAACACTATTATGCCAACCTACATGCCCCAAGTTTCCCACTTAAATCTCCCAAAGAGGTGTACAACTTAATAAACCAAGAACCCTAATCGGGTGGAAAGGCAGCATAAAAAGTATTTAAATAAATAAATAAATAAATATTTTGTGCCTTTTTTTACAAGTACACAATTTTACACTATACAACAGCTCTAAGCCGCACCTCTAAAAAGACTTCTGTATTCTGAAGAGTCTAAAGGCCGCTGCCTAGCAACACCAACCCTACTCTGTGGCACCATATCATCACCAGGGGTTCGGCTCAGGATGCCCACACATCCCAGCAGGATACGCCACTGTAATGACACAGAAGACCTCCCCTGTCACTCTACAGAGTAATCAGATACCTACTTGAAAAATAATAGTGGAAAAGGAGCTGGACTAAGATTCACCTCAGTGGAAAAGTAAACAGGCCAGCTTATTTCAGAACAATCACCACATATGAAAGTTCTTAACTAGTGTTCTCTGGATTATGGATAAAAATACCTGTGAGCTGAAACACTTGTTTCATAACAGTCCATACAGACCACTAAGACTGTGGTGCAGAGAAACAAGCAAGGTGCTCACTTTGGTCAAGAGAATATATTTGTATTAAGAAATATAGAACACCTTTATTTTTTTTTAAAGTTATACTTTTCCAACACTGGTCATGACAAGGGGGCTACGATTCAGTGGAAGAGCATTAGCTTGGAATGCAGAAGGTAACAGGTTCAATCCCCAGCTTCTCCAGTTAAAATGATCAGGTAGTAGGTGATGTACCTGAGACCCTAGGGACCCACTGCCACTCTGAGTAGACAACACTGACCTTAATGGACCAATGGTCTGATCCAGTATAAAGCAGCTTCATTTGTTTGTAAGTTCAGCAGACAAATAAAAGGAGACAATGCATGTAATTAATTAAAAAAAACATTGACCTACCTCATTGAATCTTGTCACCAGATCTTCAATTGCATTGTGCTCCCCATTTGGAGCAGAAAGAAGAGAAGCAGAAACAGAAGCTTTAATAGCTGAAAGGTTGTTCTGGCATTCGGCATTGCCCAAATCTCTGGTTAAGAAGCATAAGTAATCAATGGGCAATACTTTTCTGTAGAGATCCTGCTCTTGCTCAGTCAGAATACTAGCAACCTCCTCTGGAAACTGAATGAGATGCTGAAGTTCTACAAGTTCTTTACTAATACCAGCCACAGTGGAAGGAAGGGTATTTGATCCAGCCATAGAAGAACTCAAGTGTCGTTCTAAAAAAAACAAAAAAACCAAGTGTGAATTTTTTAAAAACCACCTTTCCCTCTATCATACTACTAAATTAAACTTTAAAGAAGACATTATTGTTATGCCAGTCTAAAACAAGAGATCTGAAGCTCTTTAGAAACTATTACCTTGGTCACCGAAATGTTCTCATAGAACTGCACCTTTAAGTCAATCCTGTGTGAGAATTAAAATCATAATACTGTAAGGAGTTACATGCATTTCTTTTTGCACATTAAACCATGTTGAGTTCAGAAGCTCATAGATGGAAGTTAATACATTGCTATATATTGACTACGCTAAAGCCTTTGATTATGTGGATCACAACAAACTATGGCAAGTCCTTAAAGAGATGGGAGCACCAGACCACCTCACAAGTCTCCTGAGAAACCTGTATAAGGGTCAAGAAGCGACAGAACTGGATATGGAACAACTGACTGGTTTAGCATAGGAAAAGAAGTACGACAAGGATGTATATTGTCACCTTGCTTATTTAATTTATATGCAGAGTACATCATGCGAAACGCTGGCCTGGATGAATCACAAGCGGGAATTAAGACTGCCAGGAAAAACATCAACAACCTCAGATATGCAGACGATACCACTCTAATGGCAGAAAGTGAAGAGGACCTAAAGAGCCTCTTGCTCAGGGTGAAAGAGGAGAGCGCAAAAGTTGGATTGAAACGCAACATAAAAAAAAAATAAGATCATGGCATCCGGCCCCATCACTCCTTGGCAAATACAAGGGGAAGTCGTGGAAGTAGTGACAGACTTCACATTCCTGGGATCCCAGATCACCACAGACTGTGACAGCAGCCATGAAATTAAAAGACATCTGCTCCTTGGGAGGAAAGTGATGGCAAACCTAGACAGCATACTAAAAAGCAGAGACATCACCCTGCCAACAAAAGTCCGTATGATCAAAGCAATGGTATTCCCAGTAATAACATATGGCTGCGAGAGTTGGACCATAAGGAAGGCCAAATTATGGTGCTGGAGAAGACTCTTGAGAGTCCCTTGGACTGCAAGGAGATCAAATCAGTCAATCCTAAAGGAAATCAACCCTGACTGTACCCTGGAAGGCCAGATACTGAAGCTGAAGCTCAAATACTTTGACCACCAAATGAGAAGGGAGCATTCAGTGGAGAAGACCCTGATGCTGGGAAAGAATGAAGGTCAAAGAAGAAGGGGACGACAAAGGATGAGATGCTTAGACAGTGTTATCGATGCAACAAACATGAAGTTGAGCATACTCCGGAGGACAGGAGGGCCTGGCGTGATGTGGTCCACGGGGTCGCGAAGAGTCGGACTCGACTGTGCGACTGAACAACAACAAATATATTGACACAAATCTGATCCTCTGCCCTATTACAGCTCCCACCATTGGTACTGATGTGTGAAATACTGTTCCCCACTTCTAATGCAGTAGTTTTGTGTATAAGCACTATTCCTCCATATGCAAGGTCATAAAGACAGGGAGGAAGCAGAAATGCAAGTGGTATTGTAGCAGCAGAAAAAGTCTTCTAGGATAAAAGAAAATCTGGCACAATCTTGGAGTCATTAAGTTTAGGTGAGGTGTGTTGTTACTGGCAAGGGAGAAGCTGATTCTGCCCCACTTCCTTGTACAAAACATCAGGTGCAATCTAGTAATGGAGTGCCCTGGCAAACACACACAAATGAACACAGCCATGAGTCATAAAAGAAAAATGTCTGTTGTATTTCTGATGACAGAGACTGTATTATGGTAATAGACTTTGCAGCCTGGCCAGACCCCAGTAAAACATACCTCTTTCTTTCCCTTCCCACTCCAGTACATCTGCTATGCAGTTTGCACTACCGTGGCTAAAAATGATAAGATGATCTTGCCTTTTAGTCAAAACTTATTTTTCTATACAACTTCTTACAAACATAAAGAGTTGTAAATATGTTCAAACCTGTCCTTGCCTGAAATGTCCTGTGCTACATCTGCTTCATCAGTCTACCTAAATCTTTCCAAGTAGGAGCTTTATCTTCTTTTCATACTTCTCACAATACGCAACCCTTAACATTACATAAGATGCTATATAAGTCTGCTCCGAGTACAAGAGGCAGCCTTTTCTTCTGGAATTCTTATTATATCTGTGAGGGTACATCATCTGCTTTTAAGTTTTGGAGCCAAGTTACAAGACACCACTACATTAAAAGTTAAACTAATTTCTGCTTCTGTTTTTCTGTATGCATAATGATGGTGAGAAAGTCTCATTCTGAATTAAATACACAAGACAGTAATCTCTGTCAGAAAAGCCTGGTGTTCTATATTAAGTAGGCTTTCTAATTAGTCAGATCAACTCTGTGAAGACACTGGGTGGGATCCAAACGAGAACAAGCAGAAATCATTCATGCAAGCAGATCTCAGCTTTCCTTCCCTCCCCCCCGACACACACACCAAGGGTTGCTAAATCTAGGCCGGGAAATTACTGGAGATTTGGGAGTTGAAGCCTGGGAAGGGAAGGACCTCAATAGGATATAATGCCATACGGCCCACCTCTAAAGCAGCCATTTTTTCCCCCAGGGGAACTGCTCTCTGTGGTCTGGAGATCAGTTATAATTCAAGGGAAATGTGGCAACCCTACATAACACACCTGTGCCCCCCGAAATCCTTCTGTTGGGAGCCAGGGGAGAGTCTCCTAAACAAAATTCACTATGACTTGCAGCTCAGGCTGTTTTCCCCAGTTCCCCATCCTCACTATAGCCCCCTGCTTCCTGCTACAGTTTGTTTTCAAAGGTCCCTGATCAAGGTTGTTGGGGTAAAAGTGGTTGTTGGGGGGGAAGGAAAGACGGAGAAAGGTTCCTTGTGAGAATTTGGAAACAGCCAAGTACTGCAACAAACTCTTTTCACCTTTTAGTCTGCTACAAAGACATTCTCAATAGACTGTGCTCTTTTTACTGTAAGGTTCTAAATCAGGGGTGTCAAACTCATTTATTATGAGGGCCAGATCTGACATGAGACCTTGTTGGGTCGGGCCATGTGTGTCATAAGATGTAATGCCAGGTAGCGGAGATATAAACTTTATAAAAGACACAAACACAACGTTTTTTTAAACTTAAAATAAAAGCATGCTTAAAACATTAGCACTCTTGCAATATTTTGTTGATTTAACAGTGTCTGATAACTGACGCCTCTTGCTCTGAATTATTGCATCAAAATGTCTGTGCTGTTGCAAGCAGATCAGGTGTGTATCTGTAAGCTGATGCAGTAGCAGCAGAACTGGAAGAAGCAGAAGACTGCCAGTTCCACTGTGGGCCTGATAGAAGCTCCCCCGGGCCACATGTTTGACACCCCTGTTCTAAATGATATTAGTTTAACAAAGAAAAAAAATTACCTGAGATATGCTAAATTAATTTTCTAGCAAAGTTGCATTTACTCCACACATTTCTTAAAACTCACCAACAGAATATGCCCTTGCCTTTTCAAAGTCGCTATATAATTCACGCATTACAGAGTTATCTAAGAAATCTCATGCATCTCGTATTTACAATTGTACAACACACGAGATTTAATGCCCTTCTTTTGGCTGGCCTCATTCTCTTGTTCAGCTGTTACTCATTTTTTTGTGGCTGGAAAAATGCATGTAACTTATATATGTTTTACTCGCAATGAACGTTTGGGAGAAAATTTTGAGAAGACTGCATGTGCCAAAATATTTTTCATTATTGTAAATGGAAGAAGATAGCTAGTTCTGCCGTGTTATCTGTTGGTTTGTGATTGCATTCCCACTTTATATTTGTGCACTCTGAAAATGGTAGTGATGGTGGAAAGTGCCATCGAGTCACAGCTGACTTATGGTGACCCCGAAGGGTTTTCAAGGCAAGAGACATTCGGAGGTGGTTCTGACATTGCCTGCCTCCGTGTAGCAGCCCTGGGCTCCCTTGGTGGGTTCCCATCCGAATGCCGGCCAAGGCCAACCCTGCTTAACTTCCAAGATCTGATGAGACTGGGCTAACCTGGCCTATCCAGGTCAGGCTCTAATAAGTGATAGGCAACTCCTATTCCTACATCAATATGGAGGAATTAATATTTGTTATAGTCATATTTTTAAATGCCCTACTCTTCAATGTTGGCAAAATAAAATCTGGGAACACTTTGTATATGGTAAAATAGTCTCTCACCAAAAGGATTTTCAAGCGACTTGGTTCCCAGCAGTGGAATATCTCGTAGACGAAGAAGTGATTCCAAACAACTCTTATTACAAAGATCTGTTATATTTTTAAAAGGCTCTTACGGGTTGAGAATGTTGATTATTGCATGGTATTAATTTGTGTTCTGAATGTACTGTTGAATATATTTACAATATTTTTAGAAATTATTTTTTCCCCCCAGAAAGCAATGAGATAAAAATTTAGTTCAACTTTGGTTTTAGCATTCTTATGTCTGTTTTGATAATAACTTGAGTCTGGAAGTTTTTTGTCTAACTGAATAAACTACCAATAGGATGCAACAGTATTATTTAACCTTTCCAGACCCATGGCCCACATTAAACACCTAGCAAGAACCATAAGGCCCACCAAACTGAAAGCAAGGGGCATTGGAGTCATGTGACAGGGAGCGGAGAGGCCATAATTACGACCTCACTGCTGGAGAGGTGTTCTGCACTCCAAGCACACGAATTGGAGGAATGAACGCGGGGGTGGGAACGACCTAGCCAGTGGTATAGAAAGAAGACACAGTGTTGTAGAGAAGGGTGTCTATGAATCTGCCTCTGCTAAAAAAAAAAAAAGTATCCTCTCAACAGCAGAACGAATGAACTTCATTCTGCTGTCTCTCTCAACGTGTGCGTAAAGGCAGGACTGGCACTCCTACTAGGGTTCCCAGCTCTGGGTTGCGAAATACTTGGACATTGGGGGGTGGATGGAGCCTGGGGAGGTCAGGGTTTGGGAAGGGAAGGAACCTCAGTAAGGTATGATGCCATAGAGTCCACCTTTCAAAGTAGCCATTTTTTAGGGCTGCAAG